ACATGTGGAGGGAGTGAGCTATGATCAGGGATGCACATATGTGGTGCGCAGGTGCGCATGCGCGACCAACAAAAAATGCGCTGGGTAAATGCGTTCAGACCGCTCATTTGCGTTACGTTACCAGCAGGGTTGACAGATGTTAACGCACAGTCACTGTTTTAGATTGACTAACTATAATATTTTATAAGATTTCCATTCGAACTGTAAGCATAAAACTAGGCTATGCGCTGCCGGTCTTAGAGCAAAAAGCAAAACTATGATGTTTCATTCACTGAAGCACTTCACTCAACAGCGAATTACTTAAGCTGGCAACCCGCCAAAATAAAAGCTTGCAGATTTTAGGGTTAAAATGATGAAACTTAATTTGAAAAAAAAAGGAAATATTAGTGTTGTATTTTTAAAGTGTAGCCTAGTGTAAAATAATTGTATTTTTAATACTCACTTTTATATTTTAAAATATAATGGAATTATCACACTTTATTTATTATTTTGTTTTATTATTTCATAAAAAAAAGAATTTTGTCAAATGTACACATGGATTTAACAAAAAATGAACTGCTAAACATTAAATACTATTATTACTATTAATTATTTTATTGTGTAAAGTTATATTTAATAGGTCTCACTATGTGCAGTATGAGCACCAAACCAAATCTCTATCGGTGCTCTCATGAGAACCAGACTGAAAAACATGATACATCTCAAAGCTCAAACCCGTCTCCCGCTGGGGTTTGATCCGATCAGATGGATGAAAGAAATTGACTTTTTCTTACTTTTTAAGTTCCAGGGTTGTAGGAGAACCTTTCTAAGTTTGTATTTTAATAACACTTCAACATAATGTCCCATTAACTAACAATGAGCAATATATTTGTTACAATATTTATTACTGAAGTAATACCGTAAGTGTTAAACTACAAGTAACTCGCGTTTGATTGTTTTGGTCGTCACGTGAGTTGTGCTTCGGCTCCGCGATTCTGCGCGGATGAATCTGATGTTTTGATCGTGATTACAGACGATCACTTTATCAGCGCCAATTTCACTAACGACATCAAAACGAGACGAAAGATCTGAAAAATATGAGCAGGTAAGAGCTTATATGCCACTGTCGTTTAGATTTTTTGAAATCAGTTGTTTTAAAATAATGCTACAAAAGTGAACCCAGTCAATGCGCAGCGAATGTGATTCTATGAAACATGTTGATTCGTGATTTATTACAGGTGTGCCGCTTTCAGTTTTCGGTTCGAGGTTCAGTTGTTTTGTCTTCAAGCTTCTTTCACTGAATATTACAGTAGCCTGATTTTATATGATTACTGATATGATGTGAACAGGCAAGGATGAATGATAAAAACAGTTTCCCGGAAAATCCGTCTGGACAGCTGTAAAATATAAATAATTATGGAGTTACCATAGTGATTTAGTGTGAGGCAAAAATGATGATTTTATGATGTACTTGCTCGTTCTTTATTATTTATTAATTCAATTTGAACAAAAAAGTTACAGAATCAGAGTAGCTTTAATGTTAGTTCATGTTACCTCAGGCCTGATAAATAACAGATACAACTGGTTAGTTAATGTTGAAATTAACGTGAACTAAGATTAATAAGTAATTTAGAAATGGAATGGAACTTTATTGTAAACTGTTATTTATTGAGAAACCCATGACTGTGATTCTTTAAAGACTTTAACTTTGGTAACGAAAACCAACACACGGATCTGAGGAGCTTATCATGAATAGATGACAATGTTTTCATACGCTTTAAGTTAATTTTTACTGCACTTATGACCAAACACAGGACATATGTAATATTATTTAGCTGCTAAAACAGGCTGGATTACATCTAAACACACATTAAGTGAATGTTATTAATACAGCTGGACGTTCCAGTGCAGTAGTTTGGTGTGATTGTGATTTTATTCTAGGTCTATTATTATTCCAAACTGCCTTGAAGTTTTCTAGGCCTCAGGTCATGAGATAAACATTAGCACAGAACAGAGCGATGCGGAAGAGGAGTTTCCCAGCGCCACACAATCAGACTGAAAATAGGCCACAGTAAAGCCCTAAGGGAATGAAGCACATCACTCTGTGTGTGTGTGTGTGTGTGTGTGTGTGTGTGTGTGTGATTGCATCAGGAGCGGGTCAGACGCAGGCAGACGGGAGTTTTCCATGAGTCGTCATTCACACAGTTTGGCCCGATGGGTTTGCATGTGTCAGCATGTCTGTCATCTCTCAGCACATGTATGATGAGCATGTTTCATACCTCCAGCAGACTGACACTGATGTGTGTTCACAAACAGAAAAATCACACAAGATTATTAAGCATCTGTATTATTTCTCCAAGACGATACTGAAATTAAATGGAGCTCTTAGCTAAAATTAAACTTTTTTTTCTCAACAGTATTTCAAAATATACTCAAATTTGCATTATAAAGGCAAATATGTGTATAGTTTAAGATTTTGTTGAGGAAAAAATATGCTTAACTTTAGCAAAGACCTCTCTCAAAGCTCAGGAAAGCAATTCTGTTTCAAGGTTTTCCCCTAAATTTGGTTAACATCAAAATAAACGGACACAAATGAGAATTTGAGGTTTTTAAATCTGGGACAGTTTTAGCTTTGATTACAGATCCAATTTTGAGACATTCTTGACACACATGTGAGATTACTGAGAGCTTTTCAATGGAAAACCACCTGAGAAACACGTATGTCTCAGACAGCAAAAATATTAATTTGTTCTCCATTTGATCTCGTTATTGCCTTGGAATAAACAATTGAGAAATTGCATTATAATCTATATAATATTTATATTATATTTTGAGAAAAACTATGCTTAAAGGGGTCATATGATGTTGCTAAAAATAACATTATTTTGTGTATTTGGTGTAATGCAATGTGTTTACGAGATTCAAAGAACATTATTTTCCACATACTGTACATTATTGTTGCTCCTCTATGCCCCGCCTTTCTGAAACGCTTCGATTTTTACAAAGCTCATCGTTCTGAAAAGCGTGGTGTGCTCTGATTGGCCAGCTATCCAGTGCGTTGTGATTTAGGGCTGCACGATTAATCGAATGCGATTGTCATGCGCATCTTGTCAGTAAAGCTGGTTCTGTGATTAGTAGTAAATCACCATCACAAGCTTTCAGATGGAGCAGCATTTACTACACAGACCCGTAGTTCACTGACAAGCTACGCAAAATCGCCTTCATAATCGCAGACGATTTAATCGCGCAATTATGAAATTGAAGAAATCGTTCTGGAAGCACGTGAAGGCAGCATCAGTGAAAACAGGCAGAGACGATGGTAGATTCAGCAACATTAGCCTTACAGAGAGCCAAGAAGCTCTTTCGGAAAACAAAATATGACGCGTGATGCTTACTTTGTCTGGAGCTGACGTTCACGCACGAAGCGTTGGTATTGATCCCTCTTTCAGAAGCAATCTTTGCACAACTCCAGCGCTGAGCTGACCCTCGTTTGTGAGGAAACGATGTAAAATGATCCGCACAAACATATAGGACTTTTCCGTTTTTTTTCCGGGACATTTCCTTTGAAAATTAAATGTAACCACCGTGTCCTCTGCGGTCCATGGAGACTCCTATGTTCGTTGGTGCATCCCAACACATGACACTTGTAATGCCTCTTTGGCGGAAACATTGTATCTCCAGCAGCTACAGCAAGAAAACAATAATGGCAGACTGCTGCTTCTCACTCAGGGCGGGGTCTATGCTAATAGGGTAGAGAGTGTCATTGGGATTATAAAAAAATTAGTGGGTGGATTTTTACCATTATAGGCTGGTTGTTTTCACACACTTCAGCCACACAACTGTGTTCAAACACCTTATAAAAGGGATTTCTGCATAATAGCTCACCTGTATTTTGAGGTCTTCAGAGAGGTCTTGAGCTTTTCTTTCTGCTGCTACAGCAAACGGCCTTCAGCTCCAAACGGCTGTGATTGTGCGCCGGATGTTCCTGCTGTAGTGATTATAGAGGCATAGCAGCAGATAAAGGACAGACGTGTGTGTTTGGATGTGATCCGTACCACTTGAATATTGTGTCTGCTGTGAAACACACACACACACACGGTCATTCAATCTGCTGTGAAGCTGTGCGTCCTCCACTCTCACGGATTCACATACTAAACATCATAAATATTATATAAATATTATCTGAGATTAAGATTAGTGTGTCTGAAATCGTAGTATGTAAAAAACAGAATGCTAAAGGTGCGCTGGATTATTTTTGTGGGTTAATATTGCCAAACTCTGTGCCAAAACTCAGTAACAAACCAAAATCTAACTAATAAACATACATGGAGCTCCTGTATAACTGAATAGGAAAAATCTAAAAACTCCAAAACCGTTTGTTTCAGTAATGTTTAAAATCCACAAATGCTTTGTTTACTCAAAACATGCTGAAAACTATTTTTCAGGCCTAAATATATGTACAGTATATGCTAAATATATTACAAACAGCTTGGCTTAAGATTTATTTAATTTATTTATTAAATTTTTTATTTAATATTAATTTAATTAATTAATTTTATTGTATGTAAACCTTCAAATGCAAAAATAAATATAAAAACAAAAGTGCTGCAAGGGCCAAGAATATACATAAATATTAAAATACATTTTGGGTGAATGCAAAAAATGCAATTTTTAACGTATTTTGGAAAATATTAATATATTGGCTCTGAAAATATATTTTCAGAAATTTTCCAAAAAAATCTATGATTATTACATTTCTTTTTTTTTTAAATGTTATCTTTTGTAAAATTGGTATTTTTTTATATACCAATTTATATATTTACATTTATATTTATATATTAGTCAATATTTTTTCATTTGTTGTATATTTTGAAACATTTAAAAATATAACTGAAAAAAATATAAATAAAACAAAACAATATAAAAAGGCCTATATTTAAATACATTTATATATGGGTTTGACTGAAATCAGGGACTTCAATTCATATTTCTTTGAGAAATTTAATTCTGATATTGTTGTCCATAATTGCTCTTTCAACATTTTCTGAAGTGCCCCAATATTTTGACTTGAAAGCGAATTATACATTTTAAGCAAATGATTTAATACTTGCAAGCAAATGCATCAATTTTGTGCCCGTCTCGTGTGATTTTGTTGTATTACATACAGTATATAGACATTACAGCAGCTGATATCATGCTCTTTATTGGTTGAATACTAAATATGGCCAACAATGAATTACAGTGAGTCTAACAAAAACTAATAAGACCAATGAGCCGTCGCTCCTCTGCAGATCTAGGTCATTGCTGTGATGCTTAAAAAAGAGAACATGAATCCGTAGGGATGCAGGAGACATCTGGACCATTTTTCCACTGAGATAATCACTTCTGAAAAATATGAGAGAACAAGGTTGTAGAGAGCCTTAAAGAAACAGTTAAAAACAATAGAAATGCAGTCATTATTCACTTGTTTCAAACCCATCAAAGTCAAATACTTTTGCTGTGTGGAACACAAAAGGAGAAACTGAATAAAAACTGAATAAATATTTGAATAATATATTTAATATCCACAATAAAATGTGATGTAACTGTCTCTTTCCTGTATAAATATGTTGTTTCTGGACAAAATGTATGTAGAATAAATGCTAAACACATTATGGCTTAAGATTTAAAATATATTTAGTTTAAATCTTCAAATGCTAAATAAATATTAGAAAATGTGCTTCAAGGGCCAAGAAAATACATTTTCAATCTTAAAATATATTTTGGGTGAAAGCAAATTGCATGTACGTATGTGTGTGTGTGTGTGTGTGTGTATATATATTAAATAGCCCAAAAATATATGAAGAAATATTTAGATTTTTGTCTTTTAAATTTGTGATTTATTTATTTATTTTGTAAAATTAGTAATTTTTTGCAACAACACATTTTTTCAGTATTTGTTGTATATGTTGAAACATTTAAAATATAACTGAAAATATGGATCCAAATATAGATAAAAAAATTATATGTAATTATATATCAACTAATTAAATTAAAAAAATAAAATGATTTTATATTATCTATCTATCTATCTATCTATCTATCTATCTATCTATCTATATGTTTATGTACATTTGTGGAACACAAAAGTTGAATCAAAATTAGGGGTCGACCGATTATCGGTGCCGATATTAAGCATTTTTATGGTTATCGCTATCGGTCATTTTCAAAACCAATTTGCTGATAAAACAATTTAAAAGCATTTAAAGAAAATTTTTTTGTCAGAGCCCTTGTTATTCTTAATTTTGAAATTAATTTAAATTTTTACACCAGACATATCAGTTCAAAATATCGGTTATCGGGCTACTTGATCTGTAATAATCGGTATCAGCCCTGAAAAACACATATCGGTTGACCCCTAATATAAATCTTTAAACATCTTTGTTTTATACAACTTACACACACACACACACACACACACACACACACACACAAACACACACACATATATATATATAAATATAATTTAGTTTTAAAAGCTGCCTTCCATACAAAAGTTTGGAATTACATTTACATTAGTATTTTGTGCATCTATATTCCAAGTCTTCATATGATTGCTTAATGTGAGCAAAATATGGCCTTACATTTGATGTCAAATAACGTGATATTTGATTTCAGTGTTATGAAAGATATTCAGTCAATAGTGATTTAAATGTATGATATTTTTTAATGGTAATGTTGTGGTTTATCGGTTTAGTGCGGTGGACGGGGAATTCAGTGTTTATTTGTTCTTGTTCTGAAGGTTTTCTCAAAGCCTTGTAATCCTCTTCAAACACTCGTCCTCCTGTTCTCAGCACCTAATTCTCTATTTCTGTCACGCTAAACTTCCTTGTCTCCCGTCGGGCATATTTCAGGTCAGTAACCTATGAAGGCTGTGACGCACCTTTGGGCTATTTACTCTGTCTGCCTGTGTGTGTGTGTGTGTGTGCTGAACTAAGCCAGTCAGAAATGCTGAGTCAGTCCGAACACTCACTGCTTGTGTGGGTGTGTCTGTTTGTGGCTCTGGCTCCGCCCCCTCTATGATCCGCCCACTCTGCTTATTTGTTTAACTCAGTGTCACCATTAACTGGCTCCGCCCCTCCCTGTTTTTAAAGAAACAAAGCGAGAGAGAGAGAGAGAGAGAGAGAGAGAATCCAGTCTCACAGATTTGTTTTCCTGACTTCATTCAGTCTGAAAGCCTAAAGTATGTGACCTTTCCACAAAGATCTTTCCACATTTTAATGGCGCCTCACACAAAAATGTGCGCATTAGTTTCCTCATACAAATATTACAGAATTAACAGTGTTTATGTGACCAATATAGAATGTTTATTTGCATCTATAAGTTTATTTATTTCACAAAACTTTAAAAAAAAAAACAGATACAGACAGAACAGCAGCATTTGGACACTGAATTATATATATATACACGTACATATATTTGTGTGTTGTTTAAGGGGAGAATTTTTTTTAATTCAATTTTTAGTGAGTTTCCAAAAAGCATTTTTGTTTGACAGACGAATTATGTGACCAAAACTAAAATATATACTTTTTTTTTAAACAGATGCAACACAGTGCTTCCACACTGTGAAAAATATTTTTTGAAGTTATAAATAAAACACATTATCGGAATATGTTTTACAAGAAAATGTAAGTTTTTCTATGTCAAAGTTTCACATTTAATTCAATGTGTTTTTTGAGTTTGTTCAATCTTTGATGGGCTCTAATTGAATAAAGCAATTCAATAAATGTCTTCTACAGGTAGTCTACAAAAAAAGTTAAAAGCGCTATATAAATAAAGGTGACTTGACTTGACTTCTATGATAATAAACCAACAGCAGTGTCTTTTGATGTGTGGAGTTTGCGCGCTTCATCATATAAAAGAATACCATGGAATTACCACAGTAGTGCATGTTCAGAAAACATCCATTTTTGCCATTTCAGACCCATAAATCAGCTCTCACCGTGAACTACCTGCCGTCCTTGACCTGCTGTCTGTATTTCTGTATTTGTCAGATTCGCGCTCACCTTTGACACCCATTTCCACTCGAGTCACAATCCATCAGAGTGTCATGAGCCGCGGTTGGAAACAGATAAGAGTCTGTGCGGTTTAATGTTTTACTACGGTATGAGAGCGTTCAAACCCTATCAAGCCTCTTTAATGTCTCAGCAGTTTCTCCCAGATAGTAATGGGATTAAAGGAGAGCAGATGGAGAATAAAATCTCCTTGTTAGATGTCAGAAAAAGACTTTAACCTCGAGATTCAGCAGAGAAACAATGTCTAAAACTGTGCCGAGACATCAAAGTCTGTATTCAGAAATTCACAGATCTCAATATCAATATGAAAAGTATTTCTCATATACTATCCATATATTCTATCTCTGTATGTTCTTTTACTGTATGTGAATGATTGTGTCATTTGTGTCTAAAGCTGTGTTCTATTATATCACTGATATACTATTATAGTTTCTGTTAATATTTTAAATTAGATTTTATTTTTATTTTTTATGATTTCACTTTAATTTTATTTCAATTTCTAGTAATTTTGCCATTTTTATTACTTAAAATATGTCTGTGTAGTTTTTATTAATTTGATTTCTTAGTTTATTTCGTTTTAATTATATTAGTAATTCAAGTTAAACTAAATGAAAATAAGAAATGCTGCCTTGGCAATTAGATGAAATAAAATACTTTTATGTATTTCATATATTTTATTTTATTTCAAATGATTAAAATATTTATTTTATGGTTTTAGTTAACCTTGTGTAAAGCAGTGTTTTTTTAGTATCTCTATTATAGTTTTTATTAATATTTTGAATTAGATTTTTATTTTTATATTTTTTGTTTTTACTCATTTTAGTTAAAGTTTTTGCAATTTTGTTGTGTTTTGTATTTTCTTAAATATCTCTGTTATTTTTATTATTTTTCATTTATTAGTTATAGTTTATTTAGTTTTAGTTATTTCAGTACTTCAAGTTAAGCTAAACGAAAATAAGAAATGTTATAAAAAAAATTATATTTAAAATTGATATATTTTATTTATTATGTATTATATATATATTTATATAATATTATATTTCATATTAAATCATATATTTCAATATATAAGTTTATGTTATTTTTATTTGATTTCATTTAGTGTTTATTTTATTTATAAATTATTTAGTTTTAGTTTTAGTTAACCTGGTCTAAAGCAATTGTTTTCACCCAGGAGGCCCATAGGACGACTTAAAGTGATTTAAATTAAGTTATATTAAAATAATCACATTTAATCACAATGCTAAAAAACTTCAAATCAAGGTGTATAGCTGAATATTTGCTTTCTTTTTTATTATTCCCACTCAACGACTGTCGCTTTATTAAATACAGCACAGTTTCTAGAAACTTCTGGAATCACCAAATAATTGTGGTTGAATGATTGAATATATTGACGCTCCCAGTTTCTGTTCAAAACAAGCAGCTCTGTCATCAAATACAACTCTTTGTGGTGATATAATGTTAGTTAAGTGGAACAATCACAGCCGATCAACAGTTAATCTACCAACTTCCTTCTTAAAGTTGTAAAACCACTCATTATGTAGGCATAAATAATCCTCTTCTCTTTATGAAACACTAGTGTATAAATACTCTACGTTTGGCTTATGCGGCAGGAGTGAGTCATTTTATTTCCCCATTTGTATTTACAGTAAACACACTACACGTGTTGTGCAACCCGCTGTGTTTACACGCATGTGGTTTCCAGTGAATTCAGAACAGTATTCAGAACACACACACACAGACGCGCACACACACACACACACACACACACTCACTCTCTCTCTCTCTCG